GCTAAGGAGTCGGTGAAGAGGCTCAGCCACTGTGGCTTTGTGGGGCAGGAACATGTTATAAAAGTTCAGCAGCCCCAGGAATGCCTGCAACTCCGTTTTGTTCTTTGGGGTGGGGGCCTGCTGGATAGCGTGGATCTTGGATGTGGTTGGATGAAGACCGGAGGCATCGATAAGATAGCCCAGGAACTCTACCTGTGGAAACGGCGATCTGGCACTTCTCCCTCTTTACCTTGAGCCCCGGCCTCCTGGAACCTGGTCAGCACGGCACGGAGGGCGCTCGAACAGCTGCTGGTGTGAGTCTGCAGACACCCAAGACGTCATCAAAATATGGTACCACGCCCGGAAGCCCTTGCAGGAGACGCTCCATAAGGCTTTGGAAGATGCCAGGAGCCACACTCACCCCGAACTGCAATCGGCGGCAACGGAAAGCCCCCCGGTGGGTGACGATCGTCTGGGCTTCAGCAGTGGCATCATCGACTGGCAGTTGTTGATAGGCTTGGCAAGGTCCAGCTTAGCGAAGACCTTACCCTCACCCAGGGAATGCAGCAGGTGTTGGACAACAGAACCGGATAAGCGTGCTGCTGAAGTGCCTTGTTGATTGTGCACTTGTAGTCAGCGCAGATTCTCACCGACCCATCTGGCTTGACAGGCGTGACGATGGGGGTTTCCCACTTTGCGTGGTCAACCGGCTCCAAAACTCCTTGGCGATCAGTTTGTCCAGTTGTTCGTCTACCTTAGCCTTGAGAGCAAAGGGAACCGGCGTGGCTTTAGCTTGATGGGGGCGACTTGTGGATCAAGGCTAAAGGAGATGGGCGTACCTGTATATTGGCCCAAGGTGCTGTCAAAAACCTCGGCAAAGTCTTTGACCAGACCCTCAGGTCTCTGCGTTAGAGATGCAGTTGATGCCGGTGACTTCCAGGCGAGGGCATCAAACCAGTCTAGCCCTAGGAGGCTTGGCCGCTGACCTTCGACCACCACCAACCGGAGCAGGCCCGAAAAATCCTTGAAAGCGATCCGGAACCGGCCAACGCCTACCACGGGAATGTCGTTTCCCTGGTAGTCTCTCAGGTGTACGCGGTGAGAGTCGAGTTGCCTTTTGGACACTCTGGGTACCAGTCTTTTGATGGTGCTCCATGACACGATGGACAGGGCAGACCCGGTGTCGATCTCCATGTCACATGGAGCTCCTTCAATGAGCACCGTGACGTTCAGCTTGCGTCGTGTAGGCGAGTCGGTTTGGCCAATCGTGGTTCCAGACGGGCAGCGGCAGTTGGTGAGAGCGAAACAACTTTCCTTGGCAGACTGGAGTGAAGACTTGGACTTGCGAGTCGATGAAGGGGGGGTGTCAGACGGAGCCGATCGGCAGACCTTAGCGATGTGGCCCCTTCTGGAACACTTCCTACAGATGGCGTCTCTGAATCGACACTTGGCACGGGAATGGTTGCCTCCGCAGCCAGCAACATTCCGGTTGGCCCTTGGACTTCTGTTGGAACTTCCTGCGCTCCCGCTTTGTCTGGTGCACGTCATCGTCTTCACTGGAGGATGCCTCATCACTGCTGGCCTCTTCATGATGCACTGGAACTGGCTCCCTAGCAAGACGCGGGCTGCTGGACTTGCGGATCTCCTGGGCGGAGCGTTCAGCAGCTTCTGAGGCCACAGCCTCCTCAATGGCTTTCTGTAGCGTGAGGTCTGGCTTGGCTAGGAGGCGCCGTTGCAGATGGATGTCCCGGACCCCGCAGACGATTCGATCCATCAGGGCACCGTCTAAGTCTCGGAACTCACAGTGCATTGCAGCCTGTCGCAGGGCGGTGGTGTAGTTGTTGATTGACTCCCCCTCTGCCTGGTTCCGGTGGTAGAACGCATGGCGGGCAGCAATCTTGGACGGCTTTGGTGCGTAGTGGTTGCGGAGCTTCTCTTGGATCGTGTCCCATGGTGTTGCCTGGACTGCTTCAGGCGCAACCAACGCTCGGGCCGTCTCAAACACCTCAGGCCCACAGAGGCTGAGGAATAGGCCCCGCTTCCGATCCTTTGATACTGCTGTCAGCTCGTTGGCTTGGAGGTAGCAGTCGAACCGAGCGAGGTAGGAGTCCCACGATTCAGAGGCTGGCGCAAACGGCGGTAGAGGCACAAGTGAAGCCATGATTCCGATGCCGGCGTGAAGGGCGATGGATGGAACACAGTGCTCTAGCCAGAACAGTCAGCTCTGAATTGGTTCTGCCCAGTGATTTCGCTCAGTGATTTCGCTCTGTGATTCAGCTCAGTGATTCAGCTCAGTTCAGAGGCTGGCCGCATCTGGCTGTGCTCTGATGTCCATCCATCCCATCCTCGTCGCCAGTGTTAAGTCGTGGGTTGACATAGCAGCCGGCACAGCAATTTCTTCAAGTAGCTCTTTATTATGGTAAGCTGGAATAGAACTGACTGCGAACAGCTCAGCCGGCCTGTATTTATAGGCAGCCGGCTGTCAACATTGTAACCACAACAGCCCAGAGTTCCCGCCTAAAATAACTGCCGCGGACCTGAGTGAAAACTATCTACAGACCTGAGTGAAAACTATATACAGTATCCCCCTGTTGGCCCAGGGTGAAACTACACTACATAACACTTACATTTCATTGAGGCTCTTCTAAAAAAGCCCAAATATTGCTCTTGAAGAACGTACCTTACTACACCTGTTAGAAATGTTTCAGCTAAGAGAAAGCTTTTCAAACCCTTGGGGGAACTGAGTTGTGACTCACCTTGGGAGGAAGGGTAATAATACTAATAATACTAATAATACTAATAATACTAATAATACTAATAATAGTAATAATAATAATAATAATAATAATAATAATAATAATAATAATACATTGTTGTTGTTGTTGTTATTTATAGCCCGCCCATCTAGCTGGGTTTCCCCAGCCACTCTGGGTGACTTCCAACAAAATATTAAAAGACAGTACGTCAAACATTAAAAGCTTCCCTAAACAGGGCTGCCTTCAGATGTCTTCTACAAGTCTGGTACAGCTTCCGGGTCATGTGGCCAGCATGACTAAGCCGCTTCTGGCGAACCAGATCAGCGCATGGAAACGCTGTTTACCTTCCCGTTGGAGCGGTACCTATTTATCTACTTGCACTTTGATGTGCTTTCAAACTGCTAGGTGGGCAGGAGCTGGGACCGAGCAACAGGAGCTCACCCTGTCATGGGGATTTGAACTGCTGATCTTCTGATCGGCAAGCCCCAAGCTCTGTCGTTTAGACCACAGCACCACCCGCGTCCCTCCCTAGAATAAAATAGATACGGTACATATAATTATCTATATATTTATCTGGAACTCCTCCAACCAATCCAACTAACTGAGCTTGTATCTGGGCTGGTCCCAGAGTCCTGCTGAAAGACATAGGCCAGGATCTTCTGGGTTCCCCGGCTTTTCCCCTATGTAACCTCTGTGACAACACAGGATTTCTAGCACCACTGGCTATTCCCAGTCTCAGCTTGCATGTGGCTACAGCTCCCTGATGGACACAGAGAACAACTTCAAGCATTACAAAACTCAGGAGCCACCAGTGATTTTATGCCCTGCAAGTTTGTCCGGCAGCATGGTGTGGCAATGCGATAATTGGGGAATCCATGGACAGTGAGAGCCCATTCACATGAGATCCCATAATATACCCTGCTTTGTCCACAGTGCCACGCCCCCAGGGATCAGGCTCCAGCTCCAGCTCCCAGGATGTAGGACCAAAGGACATCCAGGCCGTTCCTGGTTGCCATCCATCGCGCCTCTTCCCCACTGCCCCTTCTCCGTGCGGGCATGGCTCCATCTCGGCCATCTTTGGCGCAGAAGCAGCAGCCAAAGTTTCCTTTCCTTAAGACAGCAGCTCCGCTTATTTCCCATCTGTAACCTCTTCCTCTGTTTTTGTTTTCCTTTCTGTCTCCTAGCTCCTCAGACAGGTAGGCCACAGAGGCTATTGTGGGCTTTGTGAGCAAATGACAGATAGGGAGGCCGCCATGTTTAAGAATGGCATCATAGAAGTTGTGGTAGGGGGAAGAGGGGCACATTGACATTTTGAATGAAATGTCTCAACAACAGTTGTTTTAAATTACTTTCATTTGACCCCAAAGTCTCAGAAAAATCTGACAAAATCTTCAGTCATTTGAAAACTAGGAAGTTAAATTTTAAAAATGAACATAAGGGAGTACCTTTCATTGCGGTTAATGAGCATGTTTTGCAAAATTACAAAGAACACACCTTTTTTTCAAAACATTTAAACTAAAACTAAAAAGTTTTCTTAGATTTGCTGAAAACCATTTCAGCACTTCCTTCTCAAGTTCCTCATTTTTTCCAGTGCTTTTTTTAAAAAAAAAAAATTATTAAAGATTTACTTGGTTTACAAAAGTACATGCCTTCTCTCTTTTTTCAGGTTCTGCAGTCTTCCTTACAAATCAGTTACATTTGTTGTTGTAATAATAATAATAATAATAATAATAATAATTTATTATTTATACCCCGCCCATCTGGCTGGGTTTCCCCAGCCACTCTGGGTGGCTTCCAATAAAACACTAAAATACAATAACCTATTAAACATTAAAAGCTTCCCTAAACATGGCTGCCTTCAGATGTCTTCTAAAGGTTTGGTAGTTACTTTTCTCTTTGACATCTAGTGGAAACAAAAGATGAAGAGGTCAAATCAGTTATGATTAAATGGGTACAAGATGTGGGACATAATATTCAGATGGTGGAATGGGGAAAACTATGGAAGAATGATATAAAATTTATAGCATGTGTGATGATTAAAGAAAATTATATGAAAATGATGTATAGATTGTATCTAACCAGCTAAATTAGCAAATACGTATAACACTAAGGAAAGCAAGTGTTAGAAATGTAAAATAACAGAGGGGACATTTTTCCATATGTGGTGGGATTGTAAAATTATAAAGAAATATTGGGAAATGATTTATAATGAAATGAAGAAGATGTTTAAAACAACCTTTGTTAAAAAAAACCCAGAAGCTTTCTTATTAGGAATTATAGGAGTGGACCTATCAAAATCACAAAAGAACTTGCTTATGTATGCAACAATGGCCGCATGGACCTTATTAGCACAACATTGGAAAGAAGAAGGTGTCCCATCTAAATAAGATTGGCAAGTTAAATTAATTGAATATGCTGAAATGGCAAAATTGACTATGAAACTAAGAGGAAGAGATGACAATGAATTTAAGGAAGAGTGGAAGATGTTTATTGCATATTTACAGAAGCAATGTACACAGGTTAATACATTAGCAGGGTTTTAAGATTACTTGTAATTTTGTTATGAATGGATAACAGGGATTTAAATAGGTTAAAATTTAACAATAGACATGCAGTATGTTGACAAGTAATAGAACCAAGGAAGGGAATGGAGGGAAGTCAATTTGTTTTGTTTTGTTTCTGTATTGTTTTTATTTTTGTTGTTTTTGGAAAATAATTTAAAAAAAAAAAAGACGTTCTCTTATCATTGTTGACCGTAGCCAGTTCTTCACTCTCCCCAAGGTGCTGAATGACTGCTCTCTGGTACAAGTCGTGTATGGCTGAGCAAGAGAGATGAGCAGAGCCTTTTTTGTGGTAGGGTAAAAGATTACCCACCTCTTTTACTAGGTCTGCTATGTTTAGCTCTTTTAACTGCTGTTTGCAGAGTTTCTTCTCCTTCCATATGGTGTACCACAGTTCAGTTTCGGGGTGGGAGTCTATCACTCTGTCGGGTTGCCGGTTGCGTCACTAGAATGCGCCATCACGACATCATCCAAGCAATCTCACAAGCATTTGCATTTCAAATATTCTGATTATATTTACTTTTAGTTAAGAATTTTCTAGTTATTTACTTAACTCCCCCTCCGGCTATGCCCATGCCATTGGGCAAGGCTGAATGTCACTGCAGCTGTAACGTTCTTTCATATGTGGTGGACTTGTAAAAGGGTAAAAGAATATTGGGAAATGATCCATGATGAATTGGAAAAAAAAAGTTCAAAAGTACTTAAAAAACAACAACAACCAGAGTCCTTTTTGTTGGGGGTAATTCAGTGGGAAATTCCCAGGTGTCAAAAAAGGTTATTTATGTATGCCCCTACTGAGAGCCAGTGTGGTGTGGTGGTTAAGAGCGGTAGACTTGTAATCTGGGGAACCGGGTTCGCGTCTCCGCTCCTCCACATGCAGCTGCTGGGTGACCTTGGGCCAGTCACACTTCTTTGAAGTCTCTCAGCCCCACTCACATCACAGAGTGTTTGTTGTGGGGGAGGAAGGGAAAGGAAGGAATGTTAGCCGCTTTGAGACTCCTTCAGGTAGTGATAAAGCGGGGTATCAAATCCAAACTCTTCTCTCTTCTACTGCAGCCTGTGTTTTGTTAGCCCCCAAATGGAAAACAAGCAAGTTCCCAACTAAGGAAGAATGGCAACTTAAGTTCATAGGCGCCGACTCCATGGGGCTTGAGGGGGCCCGAGCCCCCTCAAAAATTCGTTTGGGGGAGCTCAGCCCCCCCAATAATCTCCTGCGCCCCTCCAGCAGAGCGCCATCGCCGCCCCTCCCCCAGCCCAAAATGCACAGGGAGGGGCGGGCTGCATGCCTCCTGCCCTCCCTCCCGAGCAAAAGCTCCACCCAATTTCCTTTGGAGCTGATTAATAGGCGCAGCACGCTCTCCCCTATTCGCTCACGAGGAGGCGGCGCCACTTTATTTGCATATTCATGAGCTTATTTATTATTCATGAGCTTTCCCGGGCCCCCCCAATATTTTTTATAAGTCCGCGTCCCTGCTTAAGTTGATGGAATATACACAGCTTGCGGACTTAACCTATAGAATAAGAGAACAAGAACATACGTTTAGAGAAGATTGGAAAATGTTTATTGAATATATGGGGGGGGGAATTGTGTACACTTGAAAACGTTGGTAGCATTAAGATAAATTCAACAGTGTAAATGAGTTTTGATGGATGTAATACAGTGGTACCTCGGGTTACATACGCTTCAGGTCACATACGCTTCAGGTTACAGACTCCGCTAACCCAGAAATAATGCTTCAGGTTAAGAACTTTGCTTCAGGATGAGAACAGAAATCGGGCTCCGGCGGCGCGGCGGCAGCAGGAGGCCCCATTAGCTAAAGTGGTGCTTCAGGTTAAGAACAGTTTCAGGTTAAGAACGGACCTCCGGAATGAATTAAGTACTTAACCCGAGGTACCACTGTAATGGAATACTGAATGGTTTGGTTACCTAAAATATGCAGGGATTTATGATATGCAAAATGCACTATGGAAAGATTAGACGGGAAGTCGTTGATATTTTAGGATGTTTAAATGCGTATTCTAAATCGTAAAAGAGAGAATTTAATAAAATTTTATATATACAGTATATAAAAAAAGAATGTCACAGCGGCTGCCTCTGTGTTCTATTGGAGAAGATGACGAGGACCCAGGCAAATCACACGCTTAAAAATGCTAAGAAAAGACTGCGGTGTGTCCAGGAAACAAGCGAATGGCCGCCTTAGCCAAAGACCCGAGACAGGAACAGATTGGAATTTTGGTGGCAGCCGCACGAAAAGGAGGCGGGGCATCAGCAAACCAATCAGAAAGCGGTACACTAGAGCTCCTCCTCCCCCGGCGGTCCTACGCTTTTCTCTTCTAAATCTTCCGAGCTTCCGTAGAGTTCCCGGAAGTGCCGCGGTTGCTAGGCTGCAGGTTGCTAGGCAGCGGCGTCGCGTCTCACTTGGGCCTTGCCCGGCTCCCAGGCATGGGGGACTCGGAGGGCGAGGTTTTGCGGGGGACCTTCCCCAGCCTCATGGCGGAAGGGACGATGCTGAGCCGGCGCGGGGAGCTTGCCAAGGCTCTGACTTGCTACACCTACGTGAGAATTTGCTGTGCTCGTGGGGCAGGATGGGGGTGGGAAGGAAGGAAGGAAGGAAGGAAGGGAGGGAGGGAGGGAGGGAGGGAGGGGGTGAAGCTGGTTCGTGAATAGGAATGAAGGGAGGAGGGGAGCTGATGGTGCGTTTATCACATGGCCAGGCATACCTGGGACCCTCAAATACGAGAAGAAGCGCCTCCCCCCACATCCTCCAGATGTGGCCTTTGAGAAGCCAGATGTGTGCTGAGTATGTACACAAGGACATAAGAAGAGCCTTGCTGGATCAGGCCGGTTCATTCATTCATTCATTCATTCGTAGAATCATAGAGTTGGGAGGGACCCCCAAGGGTCATCTAGCCCAACCTCTTGCCATGCAGAAATCTCAGCTCAAGCATCCACTACAGGTGGCCATCCAACCTCTGCTACTTGTAGAGAAAATTACAGTGGTACCTCGGGTTACATACGCTTCAGGTTATAGACTCCGCTAACCCAGAAATAGTACTTCCGGGTCGCTGTGGAGCGCAACCCGAAAATATTCACCCCGAAGCTACTTCAACCTGAGGTATGACTGTACAAGCAATCCAACAGAAAATCCTTTGAGTCTTCAAAGTCCAGGTAGAGATTTTGTTTTTCATTGGCACCCTATTTTCTTATCTATGCACAATATTACTGAGCCTTTTTGATGATGGAGCTGGTCGTGTGAAGCTCCTTTCATAAAAAGTCTCAACCTCCAACTTGTATTTTAAAAGGCTTGTGTGCTACAGTAGTGAAAAAAGCAAATTCATTGTTATTAGGGGAGAGTTAAAATTAAAGGAAGTACAATAGGCCCTTACAGAAAGCTGTGGTTCATCCGCAGTTTTGTGGAGTTCTGGTCCAGGCTGTTTCCAGAAAAATGTCAAAGGTTAAGAACAGTTTCAGGTTAAGAACGGACCTCCGGAACGAATTACGTACTTAACCTGAGGTACCACCGTAATACAGGATCCATCGCTAAGAAATGGGG